GTCTGCTACGTGACATCGGGCAGACGCTCGCATGATCTACCGCTCGGCACGCCACGCTAGCGGTTTCATAATTATTCACGTTTTGTTGTGAGTAATTCTGTGCGAGTTAAGGATATTTTACGCAATCCGATAATGTGAACTCGATTGCTGAAAAATGAGATCAAAAAGCATATTCGCAACGCGTGTTGCTAACGACTACTAGGAGAATTATTGAAATTTGGAATTTTAATGATTCAATAAATCAAAGTATATCGCAAAATAATCAACGTGTTGGGTTCGCATCGTCGTAGCGTGATGATAGATGGCGCTAGTGTAGTGGCTACGATAATCTACATAATGTGTTTTAAATTACTAATAGTTGACGTAGATCGATTGAAAATGCAATCAAATATATATATATATATATTATCATGGTGCATATCTCATGTAACGTATATACGTACGTAAATTAATACACTGTACGCACGTTAATTACGTAATTAAAGTTAAAGTTAAGATGAAACGTGACTTAATTAGGTTACTACTTCCCACGCCACTGCGTAAATAATACATCTGATATCGTATACTATACGTAATTCATTTCTTAACATCGTAAAATCGGCAGTGGGGATTTCACTATAATTATAGCGCCGCATAAATTATGAGAAAACTGGGGATAAAGAAATAAAAATTGATCATGAATCAATCAATCTGCAGTTTATAAACTACACGTGTGCTATACTGTATGGCAGTACGGTATGAATTTCCACCCCCTGCGCATGCGCCCCAAATCTCAAACCGAGCTAAACATTTAAACCTACATTTACTTTGAAATAAACTCTCCCCAACTTCGAGCCGATCACATCTCATGAACGTCAATCCAGAGAAAACTTTTGAAGATAACACTGTTTATCTATAACATGACCATCAATCCAGAAATTAATTTTGAAGATAAAATTGTATATATATATATATATATATACAAGAGCTAATAATACCTACAGTAAAATCATTATTTCTTTATGTTTATATATAGGCCTACACTACGCATTGAGAAGGGATCTGCGTGTATGTGTATAGTATAACGGACCTTTTATTTGTCCTGCCGTCGCCAACGTGGGAGGCGTTAATAATGAGGGCGCACACGTAAACCACGAACCAACTCTCGCCATTTCTCGTCGTCGTCGTCGTCGCTGCTGAATGGCAGAGCTTTGCGATTGCGACGGCTCGCTTGAATGATGCCGGATTAGGTTGCTGCCGGGTTTAGGTTGACACAACACGTTGCTAATTTTGTGCTTGGTTCTCGGCTGCCTTTTGAGCGCGCTAGAAATTACGGCGCGTTGGCGCGTGTAAGCTAGGCATGTCAATATGGAGCGCAAGCTGCTTAATTGGAGGTCCGCTGGCTTACCGTCAGGTGGCGCAGTCGTCAGCGGCTATTTACGGCGTTCGTTGAAAAATACGAGTGAGAGATAATGAGAATGTGAGTGTGAGAGAAGGAGAGTGTTGAGACGAGAGAGGAGAGAGAGGGGGAGAGGAGGAGGAGGAGAGGAGAGAGAGAGAGAGAGAGAGAGGAAACGAGACGAGGTGCAGAGAGATAGAGAGGAAGGAGAGAGAGAAGAGGAGAGCAGAAGGGGAGAGTGAGGAGAGAGAGGGAAGGAGAGAGAGAGAAGCTGGAGAGAAGGGAGAGGAGAGTAGAGAGAGAGAGAGAAGAGAGAGGAGAGAGAGGGGCAGAGGCAGGGAGGAGAGAGAGAGAGAGAGGAAGAGAAGGGAGAGAGAGGGTGAGAAGGAGGAGAGAGAAAGGAGAGAGAGGAGGAGGAGGAGAGAGAGGAGTATAGGAAGGAGGAGAAGAGAGAGAGAGAAGAGACAGGAGAGAGAGAGAGAGATGAGAGAGAGAGAGGAGCGAGGCGAGAGAGGAGAGAGAGAGAGAGAGAGAGGAAGCAGAGAGCAGAGAGCGCGCGATACGTAAGCTAGCTAATTAGGTATCAAGTAATATTATATGGTATAAACGTTTCGCTTTTGACGGTCGTGTTCGATTTTGTCTTTGGCCAAGTGCAAAATTAAACTCCAGTAATTTTGTCGTTGTTAATCAATAACATTAATTATTTAAATAATAACAATATATTCACAATGTCGTTTCCGGAATGCATTCGATGCTTAATCGACTACGACAAGCGACGCTGCCAATCTCAAAATCAAACTCAACTAACTATAAACATCACACGTCTAGAGTGACAAAACGTTTGCAGCATCGAAGTCGTCATCGTGTCAATTTTATATCTATGATACTCATAACGATTCTCTGATTGTTTCTGACAACCCCTCCCCCCCCGATTTAAACAGCTCACACCAGTGATTGGCTGTTAGCGCCTGCTCTGCCGCATCACAACGCACTGTTCGTGTGATTATGACCCTTAAGTGATTAGTCACCGTAAATAGTGAAAAGTAAAAAGATTATGTCCACTTTTCAGCAAAATGTAAGTGATTCTGTTCAGCTTTTATTGGTTAAATGCTGCATACACTTCGCTATTTTGCTATCCCGCTCACGATGTGAACAAACACTACGTGACATCACTACATAGCACTCATAGCAAGCATTTAATGTCGGTGGTCAATATGATAAATCATCCCAGATTTATTAGTTTGAAAAAACATATCTATTCATGTAACGAACTTGAGGATACATTTAGTGCGTTTTGCAAAAAAAATGCAAGCAATTTGTGACGTAGCAATTTAAGCGGCACAAGTAACCCTTTCAATGGAATGCGTTTACATTACATCGTGGTGATTCGAACTGCCGCAGTGCGTGGCCCAGTCGTTCGAATCGTCAGAGGCTAGCCTCACCACGTACGGCTATCCGATAATGCGATATTGATGTCGCGACTTCAGAGTTGCAGCAAAGCATGACGCGGGATACGCGTGGAAATAGGGGAGTGGGATGCCTAAGCTTGTTGCTGCTTCTCTGTCTCAGGTTGTTCGCTTCGAAGAGGGTGTAGGCATTTCTTATTAGTGCTTCGCCTCGCTCTTTCATGCCTCTTTATTTTCTTCCTTTTCCTTCTCCTCTGTGTCTTTTTCCCTTAAATATAGATTATTTTGAACGTCTGTCATTTCATTGTCTTGTTGCAAATCCCCTTCCCCTTTCCTTCCTCCTCACGCCTCATCGCGTCTCGCTCCTCATTCCGTCCCCTCCATTCCTCTTCCCGCCTCCTGCTCTTCCTCCTCCTCTCCTTCTCTCTTCTCCCTCATTCGCCGTCTCCATCTTTGCGTTCTCCCCCTCCCTCTCTTTAATCATTCTCTCCCCCGATGATACATTTTATTTGAACGCTCCCCCCTTCCTTCTTCTCAACGTCCTTCTTCCTCCTGGCATTCGTCCACCTGCCTTCTATTTGTCTTCTTCTCCCCAGCGCCATATAGCAATTATTTTTAATGTACTGACGTTCCTTCCTCTCGTCCTCTCCACTCCATGCATTCCCATATCCTCTGCTTCTCTCATCACCCTTTCTGCTGCTAATTTTCTTACGTTTCCTTATCGTATATTCTTTAACCCGACTTCGTTCTTCACACCCTGTCTCGTCTTCTTTATCTTCACTCCTTCTTCTTTCGTAGTATTTGCTATATTTCTGTATTCGGACAATCAGCGCGGTTTACGTGTTTATAATGCGCGTGCTACTATTAGCACGACAACCCACTAAAAGTTTTCTAAATTTTTCGGCAGACACTTAAGTACACTCGACATTCTGCAGCGCGATATCGCGCGCGAAGCGCGCCCAACGCCGCTAGGCGACTCTAACACGTCTTTGCTGGCCTCACCTCCTTACCGCTTACACGGCTTTTACCATATATAGACGACAAGCACCCAACTTCGCTTGATATTAGCCAGTTCTGGCCATTTCGACGATCGTTTGCACTAACCAGGAGGCTCGACATTTCTTAGAAATGACTTCAATTCGAAGTTCATTATTCGCGCGCGCTTTCTTTTTGCCGTAATAAAACGAATTTCCTAGTTTTCTTCCTTTGTGTTGTTTGTTTTTGCATGAGGTAATACATATGTTTGCCGATAGCACGGCGCAACGAACGCCCGAATCTAGAGGCATATTAGACCTGGTACCCGTTTGCCACCTTATACTCCGGCATATCGCTACACTCAGTAGTGTAGCGTCTGGAACCTGTCGAACCTGTCGATGCTATTCAAGCCAGTCTATATGTGTAATTCTCATTATGTCATGTTTGTTTGGCTGCCGCCAGCACAAGCTATGTTGTCAGTACGTGACTACTACTAGTACTAGTAATTAGATTTGTGTTTCTTTAGGCATTATATTTTATTGAAACGTTTCAAGTGCTTAGTGCACAGCGCGGTCGTGCCGTTCGCGTCCTACTTCGTTGTGCTTGCACATGAGCATTTGACCGGCATTTACAGTGATTATAGGCGAAAGTAGAGTATGATAAACGTTTTGACTAGTGTATACATTCCAGCACCACAACGAATATCTATTACTTCTATTCACTACAAGTACAGTGTTACAATAATTACTACTACTAGTACTAGTAAGTTAGTAAGTACTTCTAAGTAACCAGCACTAGCTAGTACTAGTACTAGTAACTACCCAGACGGCAGGACGCTAATAGTAATAGTAATATTGACCTCAACTCGTTACTAGTATGTAATTAACTTACTAATAATGACGAACCCTAACCTTAACCCTAACCTATTATATATGATATAATATGATATTTATATTGATTGTAAATAATTGTTTTATTGCCCATTGTCAATTCGGGCCCATAATAATATTGGGACCCATGTTCTCTAATCGCCTGCAACCCACTAGTACTACTAGACTACTACGACTAGCTACTACTACTACTTTAGTTACTCATAGTATAGTACTACTANGAATTTGAGGATACATTTAGTGCCGTTTCGCAAAAAAAATGCAACAAATTTTTTACAAATATACACCACAGAAAATTTGTGACAATTTAACCACAAGTAACCCTTTCAATCGAATGCGTTTACATTACAGTGGGATTCGAACTGCCGCAGTTGGTGGCCCAGTCGTCGAATCGTCAGAGGCTACATCCACCACGACGGCTATCCAGTAAACTGGATATGTCGCGACTTCGAGAGTTGCAGCAAAAGATGACCGGGATAGGTCGGAAATAGGGTGAGTGGGATTGCCTAAGCTTGTTGCTGTTCTCTGTCTAAGGTTGTTCTTTCGAAGGGGGTTGAGGATTTCTTATTAGTGCTTCGCCTTCTCTTTATCCTCCTTATTCTCTTCTTCTTACTTCTCCACTGTGTCTTTTTCCCTATATATAATTATTTTGAACGTCTTCAGTTCCATTGTCTTGTCCTCCCCTTTCCCCTCCTCCTCCTCCCCCTCATTCGCGTCCTCCTCCTCTTCCTCCTCCTTCTCCTCATCTTTCCCCTCATTCGCGTCCTCCTCCTCCTCATCCTTCTCCTCTTCTTCCCCCTCATTCGCGTCCTCCTCCTCGTCCTCCCCCTCCCTCTCTTTATTATCTCCCCCATATACAATTATTTTGAACGCTCTCCCCTTTCTTCTTCTCAACCTCCTTCTCCTCCTCATCCTCCACCTTCTTCTATTTGTCTTCTTCTCCCATATACAATTATTTTTAATGTACTGACGTTCCTTCCTCTCGTCCTTCTCCCACTCATCATCACATATCTCTGCTTCTCTGATCACCCGTCTCTCTAATTCTTCCCGTTTCCTTTATCGTATATTCTTTCCCGACTTCGTTCTTCCACACCCTGTCTCTCTTCATCTTCACTCTTTCTTCTTCGTAGTATTTGCCTATATTTCTGTATTCGACAAACACGCGTTTACGTGTTTATAATGCGCGTGCTACTTTTGACGACACCCACTAAAGTTTTCTAAATTTTATCGGCATACACTTAAGTACACTCGATTTTATTGGCATACACTTAAGTACACTCGATTTTATTTGCATACACTAAAGTACACTCGATTTTATCGGCATACACTAAAGTGCACTCGATTTTATCGGCATACACTAAACTGACTAAAGTCTGGACACTAGATTTTATCGACAAATATATCGCTATATATATTTTGTATATTATATCTATTTTATATTCTATATATTTTGCTACGGCTTACTTACGCCTACTTTATATACGCCTCGTTTCTTTGCATAGGGCAAGAGCGCGGTGTCGGGTGACCTTGCGGTGATCTCTATTACGTATCTAGCCATCCGTCGGTCGGCCACGATTTAATTTCTTCAGCCGACGTCACCGAGTTCACGTGAGAGAATCCCGCAGGCGATCAAGGCACCGACGACATGCGACTGCGCCTCCCTCTGGCGGAGACACCTGTAGACGGGGGAGTAACCCGGATGAAAGAAACTATAATGTTAAGATACAAACATGGCTATTTATTTTTGTCGCTAATTTAATACGGTTGACGAGTAAGTCATCGGCTACCCCCTGTGATACTGTTGCCATAGTAACTGTAAAACTCCGATCTGTTCGATTTTCATTCATCCCTGGGAACTGGCAAAAAGGCGTATGTTATCATCTGGAACTGATATAACTTCAAACAGCACACTTAACCCGCGATTATCACTTCAGGCTGGGTAACTGGGAATGATCGCGCTGATTCTCCCTGTATGCATTTGCAGAAACTGGGGATAGGACTTTGCCGCGGGCGGTCTCGCTATCTCGTCTCCCCAACCTTTGCTGGCTTATGTTGCAGTGCTGATTGCGGCTAGGGTTAGAAATTGATGAGCGTGGGTTTAGTGCAAATCTCGCTCCGGAGGCTAGCGCCTCGGCACGTGCTGCACTGATCAGCTGCCATAATACCTTCCCAAGTGGTCGTGTAGACCGCCTGCTAATGGCGCTATGATCCCCGCCGCGGCCCCCTCGCGCCGTTCTTCATCTCTTTCTGCATTGCCATCCCCTCGCTCTCTTCTTGCTCCTTCTCTCTGTCCGCGCGCGCGTCTCTTCATCCCCCTTTTCTCTTCGTACCCTACCATCTTATATGCTCCACCCCTCGGTAGCCCTATTCCCCTTCTCTCCTCCTCTCTCCGTATCACTGGGCCGAAATACCAGCATCACAGCACACACCCCAATGCCTCATACACATGACCAATCGGATCACGCAGCGGTAGACACGGCGACTGCCAGAGCAAGCACGACACCGCACTCACGCGCGCGATCACACTACTCTAACACACAATGTGCCCCACGCCACACACACACGCTCACACCCACACTCTACACCCTCAACTGTAGTCGGTGTTGCGCCGCAACAATTATGTCTCTGATGGCGCACACACACACACACTACAGCGGTGACAGCACACGCAGCACATACCCAAGTATGCACGCACGCAACGTGCCCTGCACTGTTTCCTTCCCAGCACGCGCTCGCACATACACACACACACACACCTATACACACCACAACATCACCAGGCCTTCCATTATTTTGTTCTGGAGCATGTGTCTCTTCCGTTTCTCGGACAACCCGGCGGCAGCAGCCCTATTCTACAGCCCATGTTGCGACAGCATCAGACACATCAAGCTCCACTCAGTCACACCGTGAGTCACACACACACACACGACACACACACACACACAGCACACAGTCACCCACATCACACACAGTCACAACGCACGAACACACACACACACAATCCACACACACATAGGTATATATAATAGTATTAAGCACCTACATATATCCAACATCATGAACATTTCCGTGAGCGCGCTGTCTGGGGGAGGGGGGATGGTGAGCGGCCGGTGGCGATGCGTTGCTGTCGTTAGCGTCTGCTCGATAAGCATGAGTCATCATCATCGTCTGAGCCTACCGTCAGCACTGCCGTAACGTCTCGCATCAGGCAACATCTTCATCGGCATCTGCTATTCGATAGCTAGCTTCGGCCCGCACGACGAATCCTTCAACGAAAAAAAAGCCTCGTCGTGCGCTCCGCCCACGCAGGCACATGCGTTAAACGCACGCCTGGCCGGAGCGGATGCGCTATATCGCGGCTCGCATCGCAAGCCTGGCGCTCGCTAGAGAACGCTGCGAGACCGTAGAGTATATCGGAGTTTAGACATAACCGCAGCACTATCTATATAGTATTAATAATATATATAGTATACTATATACATATAATATATATATAGTTATATGTATAATATATATTAGTGTGGAGCACGGGCCGAGCGCCATGTTTCAAGTCGTTCACTGTTCTTACTGATGACGCAATGACAGCGTGATCGTCCTCGAAAAAAAAGCACAAACCGAGAATGGGAAAATGGCAGAAACAGCGCTCCAACTCCATCTACTTATCACTTATCTTATTAATAGTAACTTTTCTAGCGATATGCACTCACTTGGAGCCCACCTCCCTCTTTCCCTATAATGCGACGAATATTTTTCGTGTTTGTGAGAAATAGTGTCGGTCGGACGGACAACGTGCGCCATGTTTTTGCACCCGAGCTCCGTCGGCTCGAGGCCGTCGTGTCGTATAGGCCAGTGTAGCGACACGCGCGCGATGAGTATCGCACTAATTCAGTCGCTCGGAATTCCACAAACTTTACCGGCGTCGTCGACCCGGAGGCCGTAGCCAGAGACGCTAGGTAGTTTATTGGCATCGACATTGAAATTTACCGCATGAAACTTTTACGCTTGGCATGAGCGCATTCTGTATAGTTAGTCAACGCCCATGGTGGGCTGTATCAGTAACATTACAACTAGTTATGGAATCACATCAAGTATATAAAATTATTGTCAGATTTTAGAAGCGAAATCTATTGGCAAATGTTTTGAGATTTTAGTCACCTATGATGGTAATCTATACGGTGGTTTTTTCCTGACAACTCTGGTGTCGGAGTAAGTAAACTCAAACTGATTCGATATGATATCGTGACCGTGGTTGTAACGAACAGTTATTGCTAGCAGTGCATAAGTTAACGGTGTAATCCCCCGTTCCAGTATTATAGGGTGAGATCAGAGAAGGTGTATTGCTGTGCGATTGTAAACGAAGAGTATAAATGAACGAGCTCTCAGTGCGAGAAAGACTTTTGATTTGTTGATCGTCTACTCCGATGGGGAAGCAAATCGATAATCCTAAAATTAACTATTATTCGAGGCTGTTTTATTTTATTTAGGCTGGCTTTCAGTGCATGCCTACGTGGGCGTGCCGCCGCACTACGCACACGCACACTAGCACACGCACAGCACGCACACGGCACACATGACGCACACCGTTCCGACCAACGCCACACGCACACGCGCACGACGGCACACGCACGCACCACTCACACGCAGCGGTACAGCACCAATAGCACGCAATAGCACACGGCACACGCACACTGGCGCACGCACGCGCACCCCCCTAGCAGCACGCCGCACGCGGCGCACGCCGCACGCACGCAGCCGACACCTAACCACGACCTCACTCGAGCACACGCACGAGACTACCACGCACGCACGCACACACAGCACCACACACACACACACGCACATAGCGCGACACACACACACCCCACACACAACACACACAGCCCCGCCCACACAACAATGTGCATGCTGAGAGTGTTTGTAGTTTAAGAAACGATCGCCACTTAAGATAGAGTTATATCTGTTTATATCACGTTTTTCTCAAAGTTTGGCCCGAGGAGAGTCTGTCACTGCCTCACATTCGTATACACTATATTTTCGAGAGCCATCCGTGAAAAGCCAGTCTGTCACAGCTGAGACGTAATCAGTCGTACATATATAGGTGCAATATGTTGTGAGGAATAGTTCTTATCGTATATTAAGTGATGTATATGGTTAAATTGCGTATGACACACTCCGCCTATATATATACACATATGTATATTATATTATACATATATATATATATACATTATATATATATACAATATATATATATACAATATATATACAGTATATATAGTATCATAATATATATATATACATTATATATATATCAGTATATAGATACGCAGCTACAGCTATACTTATTTATCTATGGAGAAACAAATGCATCCTCCGTTTCCATCCCTATGTCTAACTAGCCGAATGTCGCGCCCACCTATTGTCATTTTGGCTCCCCTGGCGGTCGGGTGACACTATGAAAACGTGGCAACATGTACCGTAGGATGGATTAGCCACCCGACGCCCCCCTCGAAGCTGCTGTAGATCGATGATATGCGATAGATCGATATGGATGATTCATTAATATATATATAATTACACGCACAGCTTACGTATACGATCTACGGTCGGAATATGAATATTTTCGTGTTGTTAGCGAACGAGATGTGAAACGATGTGAAACGATGTTCCTACATGTAGATTATATATCTATATTATATATCTAATATATATACTTGTTTACAACACCCGTACTACGCTGCGCTACGATAGAATTCGCTTAAATTTATATTATTTTCATGAGTATATATATATATCATACATATATATATATATCTATAATTATATTAAGTGTAGATAGATTAAACACAAGACATCACTTTTTGCTGTTACTCAGAGTTTCACGCTTGCGCGATCATCAGACAATCTTAATGAATAATAAACCTTGTATACATTCCATATCCATTAATTCCATAAGTTGATTATGGAATGTATACAAGGTTATTATTCATAAAGTTGTCTGATGATGCGCGCAAGCGTGAAACTCTGAGTACAGCAAAGTGATGTCTTGTGTTTAATCTATCTACACTATATACGCTCTGCAATTAAATGCATGAGCACTCTACAGCAGTGTAGACCAAAGCATACAGATGTATATAATATAATATATATATATATATATATATGTTATTATATATATAATAAGTAACGTATATAAGTACTAATGAACGAGAAGTAAGAACAAAGACTTGCATAAATTGCGCGCACTGTTGTCGTCGCCCATTCCCGGCACTTATTCCAGCACAACATGTATAATTCAGATGCATTTAGAAATAAAACTGGATTGGAGATGTTTCGTAAACTGCTTTAGCGTTGAATGAAAATCCGCTTAGCGCGCCACCTCGCGGACGACAAGCGCCGACGGCGATACCTCTGCCGCTAATGCATAATTCAGAACATACTAAATGAGCTATGAAACTGAGAAGCGACTACAACTCTCTCACTCTCCTCTGCTCTCTCTCTCACTTTCTCTCTCTCTCTTCTCTCGCGCTCTCTCTCTTCTAGCTGAGAGCCGCGGCACGAGTGGCGTGCGAATTCACGAAACACATGAGTGGAATGTGAGCTAACGTGAGTGGCGTGAGTGCGTATGGTGAGTGCGTTGAGTGCGGTGCTTGCGTGCGTGGCGTGAGTGCGTCCGTTCTTGAAGTGGGCGTGCGTACGTGCCGATTGCCCGAAGAAGTGAGCGGCGTGCGTGCGTGCGTGCGTACGCGTGTATACTGTGGCGTGTGTTATCACGCACAAGCCGT